TCTACATATCAGTGAGTGTAATAGTGAAAAACTTTTACTATAATTCATTATCAACACAATAAAAAACTATTTATATTTAAATTTTATTATTTATTTCACTAGACATAGTCTCGAAAATATGGCGGTGAATATAAAGTAAACAGGTGATACCTCCTTATTATAACAAATATTTGTGTATACCTTTTAAAACAAATCATTAATAAGAATATCAGATGAACGGATTCGAGGTCACCTTCCCCTTTTCTTATGGCTTTACTTAAAACTTGACACCTTTTTCTCTTATCGCTTTATCTCACAGCTTTGTATTTGTTTATTTTTTGCACTTATACACAATTATCAATAAATTATACAGTTGTACCAGAGTTAATAACCGAAATACCGAGAAAAAAATTCTGGAGTAAAGAAAAAAAAGACGTACCTATTTCTGTTACTAATGCATTAACATATGCGCTTTGTCGCTGAAGTAAAATATTTCGAATTCAGCGAAGGCAATAACTATAATAATCGTCCATCAGACAGATCGTGCAGGTTTTCTGTACATTTTTTACAAGTGTAGAAAAGTGAAATTCATAACTGAAAATAATTAAAACTATGAAATTTGGAACATCTAAACACGTGATACAAATGAAAGCAGTTATTGCAAATCCCTGTCTTCTTTGCATTGACAGAAAGTAATAAATACTTGACCGTCAAGAGTCTTTAATAATAAATTTTTTAAGCATTGGCCTCTTGACCAGTGAATCAAATGTAGTTGATTTCTGTCTGAAAATACTTGACCGTCAATAGTCTCTAATAATAAATTTTTTAAGCATTGGCCTCTTGACCAGTGAATCAAATGTAGTTGATTTCTGTCTGAAAATACTAGACCGTCAAGAGTCTCTAATAAGAAGTTTTTTCTAAGCATTGGCCTCTTGACCAGTGAAATCAAATCTAGTTGATTTCTGTCTGAACAGGTTTGGCCGACAAAAATTTCACTCACATAAAAGAAGAAAAAAAATTGACACAGAAGTGAGTTCATGGGTGTTAAGGAACTGTACGATAAACGTACACCTGTCAGGTTGATCTATTGCTAACTTTCACGTGAAACTACTGCCAAGTACTGTGATAAAGATACGCTAGAAATAGCCGCCCTTTTCGTAACGACTATCCTCGAGACGCTAATGATTACAGAAGTTAAGTGTGACATTTTCTCTCCCTAAACGACGGTCAATTTTATCACTAGAAGATCGATCCTAATGTGTCAGCATGATCGGGAGGTTAGAGTAGTGGCGGAAACAAGACTTTCAAGGAGAAAGGTTCCACCTCCACCAGTTTCGGATAATTGATAGACGTTTAGTCAACTGTGAGGTCCGGCCGAAGATGACGGAAGGGCTGGGCTATATGGTCTTTTGCCAGGGAGACTTCATGTGTATGTTGAAGGACACGAAACAGGCCATGAAGGGGATAAGAAACACATACAAGGTCGCGGCTCTCATCCACAGTACTGCAACTTGACATATAGACATACATACTAGTTTATTTTACAAGATTACCCACAAAAGGACCAGCTCCATACTATTATATATTTCCATGGGCGTCCGCAGAAAAATGTCCAGGAAGGGCAAAGTTTTCGAGAGGGGGATGCCCCCTCCTGCACCCTGCCCTCCCACGGACGCCCATAATATTCCCATAATCTGTCTTTAAGTTTACACTCAACGTGTTATTCATTGTAACAACTTCATATACGGAAATATGAGCATACCTATTCTTGTCTGTTAGTTTTTGAATTTCGAGCAAAGCTACACGAGGGCTATCT